TTGTTCTTATATATTTTTTAAATTGTATTTATATTTATTGTTTTTATTTTATAATTATAGGCGAGGTGGTTGGATGCTCCAAATTGACGTGGACACTGACAAAGGTGGACTCACTTTGAACAAGAACTTCATGATCGACTTCGGAGAGGAACCCTATGGCCCCGTGCTAGGCCATGAGATACGCTACCCAGGCGGAGACTGCACCTCCGACATTTGGCTGTAGGCTGGGGCCACAGAGAAAGAAAAAGGACAGACAAGGCAAGGAGGGGATTTTCCTCCATGGATAAAGCCGCCATGATTGGATGATAATTTGTTATGTCTACACAAGGGAAGCTTCATGAATAAAGATCAATAGTGCTGTTTTTCTTTCTTTTCTTTTGTCGTTGTCGATGTTGTCTCTGGGTTTTTTGGTGGGTTTTTTTATGGCGGGGGGGGGAGCGGTTTGGTATTGTCTTTTTTATCTATTCATTGTAGTGATAGAGACGGCTGTTTAAAACTGAAAAAGTGTTTCTAACTACAACACTTTGAAAAAAAATTCATAGGTGTTTTTAACCACGCCTTTACAAAATAAAGGTATGCATAAAGTATTTGTTTTTCTTTTCTCTTTTCCGGGATTTTATAAAAAAATTTGTTTTATGAATTTGGAAAGTTAAGTGGCTGTAACTGTAATGTACAGTAACACATTTAAAACTCGTTGTTTTCAGAAGTTTTGACATTTCAAGTCGGTAATAGTTTGCTGTATTGACCTGCTTACATTTCATATAATACTAGCATTGCTTATTAATCCTGAAATATTTCTACTGTAATTTGATATGACAGAGATATTGGCACAGCACACAACAGAGAACATTTCTCCCATCAGTGAGAATGATGCTGTGACCGTTCACCTTTTTGTTGTCACTTGTTATGATATTACTTGTATGATACATGTAAATATTATCTGTATCAGATTGGAAACAGGAAGCTCAATGAAATGTCACGATCTTCAGTCATTTGGTGTTGTTATCATATATAAATTTATTTTTTTATAATGAAAAAATTTTTTTTGTTGGTATTAAGTAAACCATCTGTCTGCTGGGATGTTGTATCCCACTCAATGCAGGGTGGCCCAGACAGGCAAGGTTGAAGTAGCCTGCCTCTTTAAAAGATCTATATTGTTTCTGTGAATGTATAAAGCATTCGTAGTCATTACAATAAATCTTTATTATATTTTTTACACAATTAATCACTTGCCAATCTCATACAGGTCCAACATCCATTCAAAAAGGGATTGGTAGTATCTTATACAGTGTATTCTACATTGCTCATGGTATGGGATCCACATGTAGAATCTGTTCATATTTTGTCCTGGGGACATCGCAGTCCTGGATGTGAAGTTTGGCAGGGGTTTTATATTTTTGCTCTAATTTGAGGAAGAATTTTGAGCTTGAGAATTCATGAAAAAAAATGTTTTTGCAGATGCAATACCTGCCACCAATTAAAAGATATCAAACGATTTAGCCAATCC